GGCCGAAGGCGGAGCGAGGCCACGCCCCCTTCGAGACCTTTCCCGGAGGATCTCGGCCGAGCATCACGTTCCCCCTAGGGCGGGCTGACATGCCGTACCCATATTCTTAGGTTTTTTCGGTAAAGTCACGTAGGTAAAAATTTTAAATTAATAAAAGTAAAATAAAATAAAAATCACGACGTTTTGGAGGCAACACAAGCTTCCGTCTTCAGGTGGAACCGTCATAGCACTTGATACAGCTATCGTGCTGTGACGGTTCCACCTGAAGACGGAAGCTTGTGTTGCCTCCGAAACGTCGTGATTTTTATTTTTTTATTTTACTTTTACTAATTAAATTTTTTTACCTACGTGACTTTACCCAAAAAACCTAAGAATATGAATCCTTGCAGTCACGAAAGCTTCAAATCTAGAATGCCATACCCACTCTGGTGCTAGAGAGAAGCTGCAGACGCACAGCTGCACTCCTGTAACAGCAGCTGGCGCGAACACAGACACCATACTCACCCTACGAGTGATCACTGAGTTGTTATTGTGGGAAGGAGACGAGACGAAAAAAAATCCCTTCCAGCTGCTACAAAAATGCAATAAAGCAGAGATTACTTCAACAATTACGTCAGACATTAATGTCCAATATCGATTAGAAGCTTTCGTGACTGCAGGATTTCATACTCTTAGGTTCTTTCCGTAAAGTCACGTAGATAGGAAAATAAATACATAATTGATCACGGCGTTTCGATCGCAACAACAAGCGATCGTCCTCAGCTGAAAGAGAGGCATTATATAGACGGGGAGGGGAGGCCGCAAAGGGGCGAGAGGGTGGGGATACAATTCTAAGAGGGCTTGGGTGAAATAGAGAATGTGACAAGGAAGCTTAGATATCAAACTTAACAAAATGTAGAAATGTAATGCAACTCAGAGAGTCGGCTAACACAACAGTTAACACTTTACCTGGTTGATCAACGTCCTTCCACAGATTGCAAAATTTTGCATTTTCCCCCCTCCCCTCTCTATATAATGCCTTGTCACAGAGGCATGTTTCTCTTTCACCTGAGGACGATCGCTTGTTGTTTCGATCGAAACGTCGTGATGTATTCTCTATTTATTTTCCTATCCACGTGACTTTACCGAAATAACCTACTAGTATAATATGCTTGGAATAGCAATGCGCACGTTGCTTAGGATTCACAGAAAATAAAAGTTTCAATGATTTTATTTTTCACTGATGAATTTACTTGTTTGTGATATTTCATGGGATATGGTACCTTGATATGTATGTACACTCTATACACAAAAGTAGTTTTTTTAATTTGACGTATAAGCTCTCTCATCCTGCTGGAAACACAAAATTCCTGTACGTGTTTAATTCAAAATATTGAATGTAAATGTTTAACCAAGAGACAACCACGGGGTTGTTTACATATATGAAAATGCATTTAACTGCACTGACAACTCATAACTCACTTATCCATCACGACTGCCACCATTGCATCATCAGATGTAATATATATTCTTGGTTCTTTCGGTAAAATCACGTAGAACGGAAAAAAGAATTGTATTGTTTAACTTTTATTTAATTATTTCCCTTTTACGTGACTTTACCGAAAGAACCAATAATATGAATCCCTGCAGTCACGAAAGCTTTAAATCGAAAAGATGTAATATAATTGGATTAAGCTGTGCGCTGTGTCTCGCCACTATTTGCTCGTGAATTAAAATGTTTTTTGCAGCATTTGGTCCGTAAACTGAAGCGTTTGCTTCTGTTCTATTGTTCAGCCAGCAGTGTGTCAACCTGCAGAGCGAGTTTAACATCGTTTGGACTCTCTAAACAACAAGATTTTGACAAACTGCCACGATGGCCGTTGCAGAGGTGGGGGGGGGGGGGGAGTTTGGCGTGGGTTTTTTTGATCACTGGAGCGTGGCAATGCGCGGCCTCGTCGTGGCTCATCGCATGCAGCTTTGGGTGATGCACCACGGCCGTCACCATACAGCACGAGCAAGGAAAACACGTGCCACTATTTATGGGTCCATTGACAAAGGCAAAAAAAACACCCGCCACATAAATCTGCTGGCCCTGATATTTAAAAGATGTTATTTATAAAGATGGTGCGCACGGCTTGCTGTTGTATGTTCCTCCAAAAAAACAACGTATGCTTTGTTAATTTACGGATGTATGAAGCACTCACCATGCCGTGTCAGTCATCGGTGGTGTCAGATCATACTTCACCACGCTGGTAATGCAGTGGTCGTGGCAGAACCTTGGATTATACATAGCCGGGAATCGAATGCAGGTCACCAGGTTCATAGATGAGTATGGTAACCAGTGAACCACCTCTCATTCCATCTTCTTTTACTGCCATAATAATGTAGTAGTTCTTATAATTCTTAAAAAAAAGAGTGTGGCTGGCTAGCGACGTCACCCCCATCCCACAGCGCCGGACCGGTTCGTGTGTCGCGCTGGCTTGAGATCTGAGCTGCTCAGTGTTCTTTCCATGTACAAGTATCCCTTTATTTCTCCAGTCCAAAATTGAGTGGGGGGAGGGGAGAGACCTCCCAATGTCGCTATAAATGAAACCAAAGCGTGTCAGCTTGCACGACTCCCGGATTCCCCCAATGTAAAGACATTCTGATTCTCAATATATATTTTTGCTTTGCTCATGTCATCTCCGAGTAACTGGTCAATTAATAATAAATGATATATGCCCCAGTCTGACAGCATCAAATTCTTCCTAGTCTATAAAGGCTAAGCACAATGATCATTTAAATGCAATTCTTCTTCTCCAGAACGCGATCGTATTTGGTTAATGGCAGAAACCTTTCCCTAGACGGTGCCTGCTCACTTGGTTGGGTGACTTGTTTCTCCTAATTCTGTTCCTGGTCATCTTCATGAACAATTCATGTGAGATAAGAGAATATTGCGTCTGTAAACCTTAACTGTCTTTAAGTATCATCGTTTTTGAGTGATTTGGGCATCATGCCATCAGGAAGGTGTTAAATGACTGAACATTGAATGTTCCAACAATGGGTTCCACCTCTGATGTTCAGCTTTTACATCCGGTCCATGAGCTCTTCCTTTTTTCACTGTGAAGGGCAGAATTTACTTCAAATGTGACATCTGGGACACTCATCTTTATCTGAGAAAATGTCTCATCACCGGATGATTTTTGTTAGAGTTAACAGTAATTGTGTAAAGGTGGGATTCTTCGTCTCTCGGAATAAGAGCGCTTGAAGAACTACAAATTAAAGGTTGATCAATATATGCTCCAATAACCCACGATTAAGTAGACGAAATATATATTAAGAAATTAACCAACTACTAAATAGAATAAAATGCATTACACCGTAAAAGGTGACTTTAATGCAAAAGTCAGTCAAAGATGCAGACGGGAAAATTCTCAGTAAGTTTGCATAGCAGTGAAGAATTAAAAGTTGCAATATTTAATCATTTTCGGCCGACAAAAAAAACCAAACATTAAATTAATGAATACCTTTTCCCAAAAAGCTATTTAGGATTTTTTTCGTGGAGATGCCCCAACGGTGAAATTAAGAGCAAGACTGAGCTGGTGCTGACGGACCCCCCCCCGCCCCCGTCGTGCTGGAGGCGTCTCTGTGCTCAACACAATCGACAGAGCAAAGCGATCACAGATGCGCGCTCTTCGACGCAGGCAGAGGGCGCGATGCTAATAACACCAACGAATCTATACCAGCAGGTGGCAGATTTAGAACTCCAAAACATATTCCGATACCTGGAGAACAATGAAATCGTTATCACCCTTTGAATTATGCATTTACTGGAAAAGTTATAGTGCGTAGTGCAGTGAGTGGGGGTGTTAGAAAAAGAGAAGAAACGCAATGGTCTGAAACCACAAAATATGTTGAGGAAGAGAATTTTCAATAAGAGATGCTAACCAAATGTTTATGAAGAACGATTTCAGATTAGTGAAAATAATAAAACAATCAGAAACACAACGCTAACACATCATAGCAAGCAGTTAAGAGTTTCAAAAGCAGGGAAAATTATGAATTGTAGCCCTTATGAACAGAGATGGAAGCACACATGATAGAGGATCTTAAAATGAGTTTAGAAATGTAGAGATCAATAATGAACATAGCATCAATACATAAAATGACAGCCCTTGAGAGGTGCGGTTCTCAGCCTGTGAGTAACACCCCCAAAAGGGTGTAACCACCTCTTCAGGGAAGGGAGGGGGGAGGCAGGCAGCGGCATGGACACCGTGCAGGCGAAATTGTGTGTGCAGTAAACAGCACCACGTCGCATCTACAAAACAAAAAGACAATCTCTTGTCCACTGGCACATCCGGTCCAAGCCAGCATCGGGCCATCACACAACGGGCGATTTTCCCCAAAAATTTACCAAGCTGAGCTTTTTGCGTTTAGTTTCTTGTCCTTCCCCAGGCACCGATTAGCACGGTTGGCAATGTACGGTGCAAAGAAGATCAACATACATTACGTACATCCAATCAAAGCGTGCTATGCTGGCTTCGGAAGGCATAGGAATTTGAATTGGGGCAATGGCTTGGGGCATCGATCATAACATTCATATTGTGTGACATGACTACACCTTAAGATCAATAATATATATCGAAAAGACAAAACCTGAATCGAGTGCGTGAATGTGTAACGTGCAACAAGCGCACAATGAACGTGTATCGACTCATTCGTTGTGCATGATGCGAACGGCACGACTTGGGATTCTGGCTCGGGACTGCCCCGGCATGGCTCAGTTGTGCCAGTGGAAAAAGAAAAGGTGCAATACACGACAAACAAATGCCCAAGCACCACGTTGACTCGAGGCTTGGACATGTGATCACTGTCTTGTGGCCTAAGTAGCTATGTGGGAGGGGGGCAGGGACCAGTGGTGTTAATTAGGAACCATTCCAAAAAGGTTGAGAGCCTCTTGCCTTCGGGAGAATGATGGAACCACAACATGATATAATCGTAAAATTTTAGAAATTTTATGCAGATCTCTAAAGCAAAAAAAAGATAGTGTCAATGCAAGTTTATTCGGTTTTATATAAAATTATATTAACAGGCAGATTTTTAGTAATGCCATTGTATTTTATTGAGCTGAATTATGTTAACTAAACAAAACTTTAACATTAAACAATGTTGATGAAATTTTATTTACTTCTCACTGTAGTGCATATGTAACCAGGTGAAAACCCAGCTGCAGGTTGAGCATATGAAACGGGACAATATTTAACAAAATTAAGACTACAGTGGCCAATACATGGCTAATTTGATGTACAGGTCATATGCATATGTTACACATTGCCAATGTCGTGAAAAAGTAATGGTTATGAAGATAAACATGTTAAATCCACAACAAAAGTTAAATTGGACCTATGATATAAATAAATAAGATTGTATGCACCCTTTCCAGTGTATAAAACCATAAACAGTTAACACTGCGGCAAATAAAAATCCACAATTATAGGGTCTGCAAACACACCACACACACTGAATAACTAAACTTTAATACATTATATGACATTACTAACTAGGTCAGTTCTATGGCTATATGATAGAAGAGGGTATATTGGACATATTGTAAGAGATTCTAATTTATAAATGTGTGGGGAGGACAAAGACATAATTTTGAGATGTCGAGACAATTCCCCCCCCCCCGTCCCCATTGTAGAGGCATGAGTGTAGAAAACCCAAATGGTCTGGGGGCTATGCATCTTAAACCTGGCAAATGTCTCCACCTGTGTAGTTAACATCATGTGTAGTACCACATTTCATTGAAACCAACTCTCATCATTGGTGGTAGCTAAAATGCATTTGATGCTCGATCAACCGGGTTATCACAAGGTGCTTTTCAACACCATGGATGGGTGGTTGAGCCACCATCAGCACACCACCCAAACACACGGCTATTATAATGCCATGGTTTACTTACACAATGAAATGTAAAATGCCAATTTCTCGATCACAAATGGCACTCAATGTTAAATTTCGAAATGGGGGCAACCTTCAAAAATGTGATCCAGAGCATCTCAATTAAATAAGTTAACACATTTCCCATCACCATCCAAGGAGCATTAGATGTTACATTTTAAATTAATGTCATGATGCAAGGTTAAATATCCTGAATAAGGCTTTTCATATTATAATTGAAAAATTAAATCCAACATGTTAAAATTTACCATGTTTTGTAAAGCAACCCATACCAGTTTAGTGGATGTACACTCAACCTGTCTTACTACCTGCATGTCATGGTTTTGTAAAAGGATCAGCAATGTGAACAAAAAAATAACTAAGCATTGAAAATTATCAGTTGCAGAATCCAATCAACCCCAGATATAATGCATGCGGTTATGACAGCTGAAGAAAATAAACAACCCATAAACATCTGCTGTCAAAAAAATTGAATAACTTTATTCAAATCTGAAAAGAATCAAGATAGATTTCTGTACACATAATTACAGTCTGGAGCAGCTTTCACCTACAGCATGGCTATATGCAGCTCTCCTCGTGTGAATCAGACCAATTCTTGTTCTGTCAAAGCGAAGCAAAGCAGTCTGAGAAAACGAACGGCCAAATCATCCACCGGTAAAGTGTGAGGTGCAGCTGGGTAGGGCCACTGCTGTGTTTAAACAGCTGACAAACGTCCCGCACACGGAACGCCAGCACACCCTTACGACTTGCCAAAACCTTCCGGTTCATTGCAGCAATTCTGTGAAAAGGGAAACAGAGTGACATTAACATAATTAGTATTTTTTTTTTTACAACTTAAAACCCACAGCATGGCAATAAACGGCTCTCTCCACTTGTGCAAAAACTGACCAAGTCTTGTTTTGAAAAAAAGGAAGCGGTTCGGAAAAATACCTTACAAACTTCCAATTCATCAAGACTCGCCAGTTATAGCTGCAATTTTAAACATTCTGGAGAACCTGTGGGGAATCTTAAAATACGCACCATTTATTTATCAAAAATTTCCAATTTGATCACTCAGCACTGCTTTTAAGTATTCTATCAGATTTTTATGCTAAGGTTAAAACAGAAAGACGCTATCTACTGCATCACTCCTGAGTCAAAGTAATCAAGAATGAGGCTGGCACTAGTGTTGGGTCCCGAGCGCCCAATAAATCAACGCTTGACTTTGGGTGCCTCTAGTGGTATCTCACTAGCAACGCATTTCAAATGCAACGACACCGAGTTGTTAAACAATTGGACATGTGCCTTGAAGCTAACTTTATCTGTGCTACCCATATGTGGGAATAGGGGAACTACCTCATAAACGTCCAGTTTTAGATGCCTTATTTCATACGCTTGTACAGATGAAAGCATCACTTAACTCGGAATTACATAATCAACTAGCCTTTCTACTGTTGTAAATGTTGTTGAACAAATCAACGACAAAGCACGCTTACCAGATTACAGGGAGCAGTGTGCAGAGGGTGACAGTCAGCTGAATTGGTTACATCTTCTAAGTGTATTTTCTGTATTTTTAATTGCGTATTTTGAACAAGTTCATTTGATTTGCTGTCCTGGTCACAATCGATGCCAGTAGGGCTCCATGCATTCTGGAAAAACACAGCTTCAGAATTGTTCAAGGTTTGTCTGCCGAACAGATTCTGATGGCAGCTTTCTTGGTTATCTTGGGGCTGTTCTTCTTTGTGTGGTGACGCAAAGGGGTTAAAGTCAGGCTGTACCGCTGAGTGCTGAGCAGAAAGCTCCGCTCCAAACGTAGACAGCTGTTGTGTTACTCCAAGAACTCCTCCAACTTCCACGGAGATGATCACCCAAATGACATCTACAACAAACCAGAGACACACACACACACAATGAGAACATAAACATGAAATTAGGAAATACACTCATCAGAAGCCGCAACTTTTTACTATACATCTGTGAACAAGAGCTTCCAAGATAAAATATAAATTCTGATTCTGAACTTTCAGTAGAGAGCACAATCGATACCTCTACCTTGTTTCCTGTGGACCCCCAATGGTACAGAGAGAGACTTCAGCATAGATTGTGTTGTCATGACCATGGTGAAGCATTAACACTGTGGTGTCGAGTCCCCTTGCTTCAATTTTACATCCACATATTTTTTACATATTCCCATATCCTCCGCATTATACGACGAGGCATTTTTCGCCTGTATTTGAAAGAAAAGCTTGGGGATGTGTCTTATCATCCGGTAGGTTGTGTATGACCAGATCAATTAAACTTTATTGACACGGTTCACAAGTTTAGGTTGCGTGTTACTTTCCTTCGCATCTTATAATTAGATGAATATGGTATACGTCAGGGTATGGATAATTCCAATTTTAAAAGTAATCAAATATCCTTGCTATGGGGCTCACTTTTGCCCAAGGCTTGAAACACAATTTTAATCAACCATATTTCCACAAAATGTCAGTGATGAAAGTTCCTTCTAGTTTGTGCAGTTGGCTGAAAACATCAAGTCATTTCGTGATACAAAAATCCATCTATCTCCTGCACATGAGTTGATTTAATTGCCCAATCTTTCCAGTGATTGTACTCTCAGCTGTATTTTCAGCCATGTTCTCCCCTTTGACTGCCACTCCATTATCAGTTGGCCATCGTACCTCGATGTCGAGCCTAAACCCACATAAATGTTCTATCAGTTAATGTCTTTAACTCGTGTATTTTCTCTGATCCATCCATGTCTTCCAATTTTTTCGTCTCTCAGTGTAATTCCAAGCAGGCAGATTGACTATTCTCTTGTACTGGAATGTTTGTATTGCTTTGTCTCATTTGCAATCTCGGTCTTCAGATTATTTTTTTTATAATGATGTGTTCACTTTGTTTGACATTTGACGCTTTTTTTATCTCTGTCTTCACTTTGATGTTTGTGGTTTCAGACAGCTCATTCTCACATTGCTTATTAACTTTTCCTTTTCTATTCTCGTGCCTCTCCACGAGAATGCTAGTTTTTTCCACTGTTTAAAACGAGGATACCCTGTTAATAATTTCGTGTGGGGATATCAATCTTTTGCTTAGAATAAGTCAATATTCTCCCAGTCCTGACCGAGACATTTGATGGCAACTGCTGTACTCTTGCATACGATGTCAAAGGGTACTTCAAGAACCTCTTAGCAGTGGATCATGACTCTGCAAACGCTTTACAGAAATACTGTCCAGAAGCAGAAATTTAAAGAGCAATTTGCGCACTCATCAGTGTAGCTCTCCGATGACGGCTTTTCGGGTTGTGACGTACATATTTTGTTCGGCACGATGTGCAACATCTCCTTTCATGTGCCAAAAGCTTTGCCAGGAACTGAATATTAAATTCCAGTCGGACAACACGCCAAACACCCGTCGGACACAGCTGCACGGGCACAACGGTGAAACTCTTATACAGAAATATTGACTCATCGGTGAATCTATTAACCATGGGCACACAAACAGCCATAAAAACACCACCACCCATGAGAATGCTTTAAAGTGATAAGCTCACCTCCAAAGAAGAGCCCGTTGGCAGTGCACATCCTCCACTGGCCTTGGTACATGGCAGGTGGGCCAGGGCTCGTCATGTCCACACTCACGTCCGCCATGTGCTGCGGCTCCAGCGCCTGTACCGGCACACAGCTTACCGGCCCAAACTGGTGCCCGTTCACAAATTTGAGCACGACACCAGCAGGCCAACACTCCGTCCCTGCGCACGCAATGAAAAAAAGGGGCTGGTGGTTGCATTTTGCACTACCAGAAGTGCCAAGGAGAAGACTAAATGTGATGCGAATAGAAGGAAACAATGCCTCTATATGTTTTAGTTTTTGTTGCTTCTTAAAATAATAATAAAGACTGGACCTCAGAGATGTTATTTCAGTAGCACTAAGTAATTCAAATATATAGGCTACATTTTTCTTATTTTGGAAACAAAAGTTGTTGGCTAACATTAGTAAAACCAATAAAACATTAACTACTTATTTCATGACTTCAGAATGTTGTCCAAGGATCATAAACATCTTTAGCATTTCAAAAATTATTAGGAATACGTGCACATTCCTAAGCCTTCAGGAGGCAAACTAGGATTCTTAGGTTTTGTGACACCGAGTCTTCGGTCACTACCCAAGTCTCAGTGTCAGACAAGGTATTTATAGAACTATTAGGTTTCACTCTAGCTTCCAAAAAGCATCCGAGCCAAAATTAAGCAAGCTTGGAATTCTTAAGGAGTTACACACAGCCAAAGGGAGGACTTCTTCAGATTCTTAAGAGTCATTTGAAATTCCTAAGATGAAAAAAGCCACATGAAACTTATTGAACAAATTATTTATTTTGGTGATCCTTGGTTGATAGTTGTGCACAAGCAGTGAACAAACTTGACGTTTTTGGCAATATCCATTTCTCATTGCACATAGAGGCCAGTGACAGAGTGGATAATACAGGTTGTAGACTGCACTGGAGACTGCACTTAACAGCATGGCAGTATTTTAAAAAATGACTAATTAAACAAATGTTTATATTACAAGTCCAATTATAAAATGTTGCTGCCGCATTGCATTGTGGTAAAATGTGTTCTTGTGAGCACATCGTATGATCCATGTAGTAATTCATTCCGAGGCCCAATCACTATCTCATTACTTGAATGCAATTGTATTTTTGTATTGTATTTGTACGTTACAATTATGTTGTAAATTAAGTACCTTTATTAAGATTAAAGAACATTGCTGTACAAAATCACCTATAAAATATTTCTCCTGTAAGAGTAGTGTTAGACTTGAGGTCTTTTTAATACCTTATTCAGGATTATTCGGTTTCAGTTTAAGAAATCCTATACTCAACAAACCGAACCAAGGTGACCTATTGAGACTACCAAACAAAAAAACACAATTTGAAATACCTTGTTTGAATGCTTAGACCCTGCCTGACAATATTTGAGCATCCACCCTATGTGAATGATTAAAGATTAAGTTGGGATAGGGATTGACTCTGGGCTCACTTGGCTGTCTAGGGAGGTGATTACAGTCTTGTGCCCCACCCTCCCATGAAACTATAAAAAGATAGCCTTCTACAGTGCACTGGGGAGCTCGCAAGCTCTGACTCATGTGTTGCTGGGACCTGGGAGGAGCAAAACGACATATATGCTGTCTCTGACCCAGCCAGAACAGTAGAGGTTTTAAGTTGTACATATAACTTTTGACTTGAGCGTTTGAGTGAATAAATAAAATAGATTTTGCTGAGCTTGATAGGGAACGTTTCCACCACAACATACTGATATTTAAATGACCATATGAGATAGACCTTCCTTGATCCAGGTTTTGGCATGATCAGCAGTGTTGAGAATGTCATCTCAAGCCAGATGACTTTGGACACCTGTACCCTTCACTTCATCGAACTGGAATGAAATCTTGGGTTGACTTAGCACATGGCTCCGAGGCAAATGGCCAGAATTATTACGTCAGGAACAACACTGATGGTCTAGACATGTTCTGCTGGTTTGTGGGCTTCTTAAACAGTGCTTGATAGTATCCACGCAGTCTGCAAGACCTCTCAATGTCAGAAAGTAGCTGTAGCAAGGCTTGCACGCTAATCTTGGTTATTAATGAAAGAAACCAGGCTTTGTCAGTATATTGTAGCCCTCTTATAATTGAGTAGCATTCACAGTAACCTGAACAATTGTATTGGCTTGAAGTCCACGATGTGATACTCGTGCAGAACCGTGCACTGCATGTTCACAATTACAAACAAAGCAAAGGGGCAGAGTTAATAAATGTTTTGCAGTCATGGCTAATCTTTAAATATATTTGTCAGAGGTCAGAGCTTCACTAAAAATATACGAAAAAAAAGCTAAACATTAACAAGTACAGTGCTCGTTTTTATTTGTATTTTGAGTAATGTGAAGAAGAAATCAGTGGGTGGGGTGGAAGAACTTTGGCCAGAGAATGGTGGGAAACAGGTCAGGAAGAATAACACCACAATGCGGGGGCAGAGGAATGAGAGACTTTGTGCTGCCACTAAGTAGAGTAAGATGCTGTGGAAAGTCATGTTACATACTTTGACAATGAAAAACACTATTAGATTAAACGTTAATGTATAACTCCTGGATTGTAAATGTAACTTCTCCCTGCACAGCTTAGATAATAGGGGGGTATTCTGTATATACTAAGTGGTGACATTACGAACTGGCCATGTCACAGTGGTTATAATGAGGTCAGAAAGTCGTGATTTCAATTCCTCGTCAAGGGTAACTCAGCTAATCATCTCAGTTGTCAAGATAACTTTTACTAATTAGTGATGAGCCAACAGTGATCATGCTTTGGATAGACTGGCCCAAACCACAGGAAAGTGGACATCCATAACGCCAGCTTTCCAATGTGCTCCAGTCCATGAATATTTCATGTTGCCTTTCAGTTAATAATAAAATGCGTACCCAATTAAAAAAGTTACTCATAACTGCTTCTTTTATTGAGTATTGATAACTAAGAGTACCCTTATGTGCTGCGGCCTGACAGTGCACACATAATTTGTTAATCTGGCCAGAGTTGAAGCCATGCATTAGACCTCTTGTTGTCTTTCGTGATCATATGGGGGGATTAGCCAAAGACAACTGAGTTCCAGAGAAAAGTAATTCACTATGGATCTCACAAAGCAATGTGTGGGTTGTCTTTGTCATTGGCTTTATGGGAGGTGAGTCAGGAGGGTCAATAGGTAAGAAGACAGGACGTAACATTACGGGAGGATTGAAAACGGTCTTAAATTCCCAAGTCATCACTGCCCGTGTATTCAGTACGATGTGCATGTTGCTGTGCAAGATACCTGAGTTCTGTATTCTCCACGTCTTTGTAAAAATTGTGTTGGGAGGGATGGACTCCCCTTCGCCAATCGTGACGTCTTTGATGAACGACATGCACGGCGTCACGATGTTGGGAGTTTCAAAGTCGTAATAAGCGCCAATGGCTGCCTGGAGATTCCTGTAATAAAACAGTGTCAACAGGACACAAGAGCCCACTTTAAAATAAACCACAAAACATGTGTTCCACTCGATAATGGAATGCTCAACGTTTCAGGTAGACTTTGTAATCAGCGTAATTTTCCACTTTTGTTACCGTATAATGTATGTGTTAACTTATTTTGGGCCTGGTTTTCTAATATCAATTGTCACTGGTTAAGTATTCATTTAATAATTATCATTCCAGGGTGTTTGCTGGTTTCATAAAGGTTTGTTGTGGGTCGTGAAAGCAGAATAGACATTAATATAACGCAGACAGAGCACAAGTAACCCTGCGATCATTATTTTCACTGGACAATTTTAAGATTAAACATTCAAATTAGGAAATGTGAAAGTCAAACTCAAGACAAAACATATAATAAACATGTATATAATCTTCAACAAGATCTTACAGGTTCATTTAAGCAGAATGGTGACACCGCATCTGGAACTGTGTTAATCACCAGTAACTAATTTATCATCTTCATTTCTGATATGCCAAGGTTAATGTACAGCATTAACATATGAAGGGTAGTTATGGAGGGAAGAGAAAAAATTGGATTGGGAGGAAATAGGAAAACAGAGGTAAGAGTTGAGAGGATCTAGACAATGGCCACAAGTGGAGGTGTGGCTCTCCATACTCTGCTCTCCCTTTGTTATAACTTCCGTAAAACATTCCAGAACATGGAAATGGATTTTGTCCGGCACAAAAGACTTGAAATTGAAGCTTTATTTTTTCTAAAAAAAGATCACTCATGAGTGGCTGCTCATGGTCATATTGGATGTCACTCACAGATCCTCTAAACCAAAGTCGCCATACATATTTTTTACAAGTTTTTTTTTACTGTGTGGGCATCATACATTGTGTTATGCATATGTGGTTGCTGCACAAAGAAGCATGGCAATACCATGCTATTGATGAAGGTTATGAGGTCAACAGTGACCAACTTTGCAAATGCTACCATTCGACCGTGCATCTGCTTGCATGTGATGCTCCAGTTGTTGTTAACTTGGTATTAGGGCTTCAAGGTTCACTATTACAGTATCCTACCATCTTGCTTTGGTCCTCTTTGTGCCCAATTGAATGACTAGCTTTAGAAACATACTACAGGTAAATTGACTAAACCTGGCTTTAAGACAATCTCAAATTAACTCCTGTTGTGTGCCATTTATTTTTCTCTACACAACATCAATTTAAGACTGTTTTAAACAATACATTTTCTCTCTCCTACTAAAATACCGAAACAAATTCCAAAAGTGGATGAAAAAAAAACTTGTTAGAGTTATTGTTATTGCCAATGCAATGTTGCAAAAACGTTCCAAGCTTGGCAAGCGTTCATGTGTTGGACGAACGTGATTCGGTGAGAAACCACGAGAAGAGACAAAATGATTACTGTAAACTTCCTCTGTACCGCGATATTGTGGACCAAAGATGCGTTATACCACCAACTATATGGCAGGAAGAATGGCATATGTGTCTGTGCCAGAATTTCCTCTTGTCTGCAAAATCATGGACCTCAGAAAGTTAAGTACTCACCTTATTTTACCTGTGGAAGCAGGCAGGGCCTCTATGCTAAAAGCAATGCTCTTCATTGCTCATAGGCGTCACATGCGGCATGTGACGCAGACATCTCCAAAGAAATTAACAATATTACATTGTTGCTGTTAAACCAGAATATATGCATATATTTTAATAAACAATCATATGCATTTTTTCTTACCCTTGCCTAAACCTGTGCACTTGGCACTTATTTTTTTGTATCAAATTGGTGCCGTCTCAATTAGCTCCTATATTTTTTTGATTGGTGAAATGTGTTAAGGCCTTATACATCCACACCACTTGACTTCATTGCCGTGGCAGACAATGCATGATTTCAAATTCACATCAACAGACCTGTCACTTTAATGCGACTCAATAAGAGTTGGTCTTTCCACTTCATCACGTGACTTTGCAGTCTGTGAAATGTGATTGTCACGGAACTGGCCAAGTCTTCTCTCATCCTAAGTTAAGCTCTTGCCTTACATCCATCCTCGATGGATCGTAACTACATGAGAATCAAATCCCAGTCACTTTCATACCATGGGGTTGATAAAAACAGGTGCCACTCAGTGGGAAGTCAACAGTGGTCGTCCTTTGTAAAATTTATCCCGCCATGGGAATGTGGAATTGTCATCACTGGCTCAATGCTCTTAAACAGGTGGCAAGCTACGTTCGAGAGGAGACATACAATTATTTTTGCCAACAACACAAGGGGAAAACTTCAGCTCTTGATGTCACATACTTTGTAGTTGAAACACACCATCACACGCATTCCTATTGTGATGTGGCCAATTTCATAACAGGGCTTAAAGCAATGGTCTCCCTTTAAAGTAATTTAAATAAATAAAAACTCCATCAATGTAAATCACGCTTAGATAAGCGCGAGCCAGAGCTCACCTCATGATTACGATGGGCAAATGGTGAAAATTCGATATTTCTAGATTGAGGTGACTTACACGGAGGCGAATTTCCCACAAAGTAGAACTTATATTTCACACACCAGATCAAGGAAACGAAGCGAGCCGTGTGCTTCGATGACTGGTATCAGAAATATCAGATAAATCTTCATCCTCACCCATCGATAGTTAAATTTTATTGAGGGACTGTGTATATTGTCTTGGTGTGGTCTGGGACTGTTTTTGTTGTTTACAGTTTTTGTAGTTTTGCTGCCTTGCTCAAGCTTGGGAAATGGTGTACTTATGCAATGTGAACTTATACACTTAATCTATTGTATTTATTGTTGAATCTTTCGGACCCGCCCCTACCGGAAATCCGTGAAAAAAAGAGCTTAATTGCTCATCGGATTTCCTCCACAATAAATAAAGATTCTGATATGGCAAAGCCACAGCCGTGACACCACAATAGGGATCCCACACACGGGTAAAGCCGAGTGTAAACAACAACCAGAATTAGCGGTGCCGACGTCAGGAGTGGGATGACGAGGCATTTGTGCCAACTCGATAAAAAAAAAACCCATCACAAACCACGGGGGGGGGGGGGGGGTGCAGTAACGCGATGGGTGTAGCAAACAAAACATATAATTACCGAACCAACACGACGTAACCATGTAAGGCTTCGCGTCACCACGTAAACACAACAAAACACGCCGTGTCGGTCCATCAATCCCTCTGCTGGCCCCGTATATCTGTCAGCCTCAGTACGCGTGTAAGCAGGGATTTAAACCTGGCTGGGGTTTCGCGTTGTTACGGCACTCATCAGCACGGCACTCATCAGCACACCACTCATCAGCACACCACTCATCAGCACGGCCCCCCCCCCCGTGCTCATCACTTTGTTGTGCCCGGGCAGGCCCAGGGAGACCCCCTCCCCCCACCACCACCACCACCCACAATGACGTAGGGAGTAGGCCGCGTCAGGGCCAGGCCTCTCTCAGGCTCGCGACTCTCCCCTCGCGTCTCTCGCCCCGCTGAGGAGCCGAGCACAGGGGGCGAGGCGAGGCGAGCACGGGGAGAAGGCGAGCGAGGCGAGCGAGGCGGCTACGCGCGGGAATTCGCGGCGCCTCAGCGCTGTGAGTGAGGCCTAGTGCCAGGCCTAGCCTAGCCTAGCCCGCGCCCCCCCCCCCTCCCTCACCAGTTGGCCATGTCCAGGAAGAAGGCGCAGCCCGCGGGGTTGAGCTGGAAGCCCAGCAGCTTCTGGAACTCGGAGATGAGCACGTCCTTGTCCGTCGTGCCCATGCAGCTAAACTTCTGCATGAGCTCCTGGTCGACATCCATATCGCAGTCCATGGCCGGCCCGTGCCGCCGCGGCCCGGCAGCACCGAGGGGCGGGGGGGACAGGGTGACGTCACCGACAGGCCGGTGGGGGGGGGGGTGTACGGGATGACGTCACCGAGGCAAGTTTTGTGGGATGACGTCGGGGCGGGGAGGGAGCGGAGATAGGGTGACGTCACGGGGAGTCAGTGGGGGGTGGCCATGTTTGTTTGTTTGTTGTAGTACGGACTACGGAGTTAGACTGATGGCCTTAATCTAAGTTGTCTTGTGGTTGTTTTTGTTGTTTGACTTGCATCCCACTGGGATTTTTGCACACAGCGTTGATGTACGGTGTTTTCTCTGCAATATTTTGCTGTCTTTTCTGTTTGCACATAGTCACTTTAAGATGTTTTCTTGTTTTTGTTAGTTGCGGTTGCACCCGATTCAAGAGCCGAATGGCTCACAGGGCTATACCTAATAAATGAATTTGAACTTGTTTGGCGCAGGAAAAAGCCAGGCGCGGACGTTATCCGTCGCGATGGTTACTGCGTTGTGACGTCATCCGGCAATAGATGAAAACGTCTCGCTAACGTGATCTCATCGTGCTGCGCGACTGCCCGCGTGACGTCACGCGTGGATGGGGCAGTGTGACGTCGACGCGTGCGGAGGCGTCATCACTCGGGTCGGAGGGAAGGGGTCGCATGTGACGTCACCGCGCCCACAAAGGAACCACGTGACCTCACGCGCGCGGGGTGGGGGGCGTCACGACGCACGAGGGCGGGTCGCGTGACCCACGCCGAGGGCCAAGCTCCCATGACGCGTCGCGCGCGATCCGAGGAATCGAAGCTTCTCATTGCAAGAGCAACGCTCGATTCTTAGGGGGAACAACTTTGACTGTCAAGGTCAGCAGGTCATGGCCTATTGACCTTGACCAGCTCCCCAACCTCGCCGTGCCAGGTGTACGACACTGGTCGTGTTAGGGTGGGAGCTTAACGGGGTATATATTCCAAGACTGGACATTTGTCCCTACAGTTGGGTGGGTAGAATAAAACATAGTGTAATATTACAATGTATATTCTAAAAGCATATTAGTTGCTACGGCGCCATATTATTAACATTCCTTCCCTTTATTAATTCTAACCTTACTCCCTCCTTTTGATACTGCTAATCCTGCATAATGACTTTAAACCCCTCGCCAAACTTCCTACGCATTTCACAAGTAGTACTAATCGCATATCTGCATTTCCCATAAATATGCCAAATTCCTCTTGACATGCAAATTATGTTGTCAAGGCGCTCTTCGCCCCTCCATCCCAGCATGGTCACTCCAAGCCTGGGGCGTGCCATTCAGACTCTACTTGACAGACCTGTTCTCCACCTGAAGACGGCTGCTTGCGTTGTGGCCGAAACGTCGTGAGAATAATTTTATTATGTTTTATTTTTATTATTTTATTTTCCTTCTACGTGACTTTACCGAAAGAACCAAGACGATCTGTCCCTAAGTCGCTGCCATCCCTCCGTGTCGTGAAGCCACAATCCACATGCCACAAACTCAAGTTCGGATTCCCCTTCTGGGATCACGCTGTCACAATCCTAGAATCTTACACAAATCCAAAATAACGCTGGCATAGTGTGGAAAAATGCATACATCCAGAACAAACACCTCATTCGAGACCCAAACACTGCATCTCCTGGCTTTGACAATCCTCGCAAACACTGGTGTAACCATCAACAACATCAGAACAACAGGCCGCTGCGTACTTCTTCATAAATGGAAATTTTAAGACAAAATCACAGTGCAAATGTGGCAATGCAACGTAGATTATAGACCATATAGTACCACCACTGTAGTATGCCCTCCAATGGAATAGCGAAACTACTTTAACTCTCCTGAAGCCCTCGTGTCGAGCAGTCCTCGACACTGGCATTTAGCTCTTACAAATATTGCTACGCGCTAGAATATAATTTAAATCACATTAAGCTGACAGGTGTACATTAATACAAGTAATTTTACAAACTAACATAGGATGATGCTGTTAGCGTGAAGACCCGATCATGGGTTTTTGTGGCTCTAGACGGGGCTGCTGGAACCAGCATGGAGCGGAGGCTGAAGCGCAGCTATTGGAGATACTCTGGATCCAGAACCAGCAAAGCCAGAACACTGCCAACCGTTTTCGTAACTTATCTTTACAAAAAAAGGCACAATTTCCATCATGCCTAGCACGCATGTCACTTGACCACGTTGCAAGAAGAATGCACTCAGTCTTGTCTAAGCCGCCACCTTAGAAGCTGAAACGTGTGGCCGTTTTGTTTGTTTAGGCCACAACTCAAAAGTTCTGATTAATAAAACACAAGGGACGTGCCATAGAGGCAGATCCTCAAGTGTAAAGGTGAACGTAAAACTCATGTGAACGTTAACTTATATCATCTTTATTTACACAAGTTACCCACGTTGTACAAAATAAACACCTTTCGATAACTAACTACATGAACAAGCAAGGCGTCAGTCAGCCAACATCTGCATCGCCTTCACAAATCCTGCCCTTTCAAAGTCATGTAAGGCAATATTGACGTTTTTTTTCCTGCAGGGAAAACTGTAAGTCTTTTAGCGTCATCAAATATGCAGATGGGTTTGAATTTCTGCAGCAGCTGGTTCTTTATGCGGACCTGTTAGCAATAATTCTGCAGCTTTCTCCACTCCTCTTCTGGACTGCACCTAATACTTGGACGAGATGAAGTCACTTAGAATTATCAAATATGCAGAGGGTTTTGTATTTCTGCAGCAGCTGGTTCTTTATGTGGACTTGTTCACGGAGGTGCTGCAGTCTTCTCTGTTGCTCCTCTGGGCTCAGGTCGATCCCTGGCATCACAGCGACAGTCTCGCGCAGCTCCTGAATCCGCGATTTCAGCCGACTCAGCTCCTGCTGCACCTCTTGGTTGTCTCTCTCCATGCTACAAAAACAACAACAAAGTACAGTATATAAACAGACGCAAAGGCTTTCAATAAATGCCTCTTCAAACCACATTCCTTCCGACCTCGACCGCTTAGACGTTAATCCCGCCCCCCCACATCTATTCTCCGTTCTCAATGTCCGTGTTTCCGATCCCGTATTTTCAACTTTTTCCAACAGTTTTATTCAAAGGTTTTACTTAACTTGGCTCCCCTGTGTCGTGGTCAAATCTTTTAATCTACATTTCGTCCACTTCCCGTTGTCCAATCAATCCCTAATTTTGCACACATACTCAGATCCGGTGACAATGCATGCCTGTATCAGATAAAAACATGTCCTCCTTTCAAGTAATTAAAATGTTTGTATGGACGGCTTATTAATTATATATTTTAGTGTAGGTCAAAAACTCCGCGGTCCCTAAACTGTGGAATCGGCTCGTACAAAAAGCAGGCGCCACGTGTCTCAGGCGCCATATATGTTGTTGATAACCCCGTTGTTTAAAAAAAAAAACATACTTTTTTTTAACACTTCACGCGACGCTTTCCCGGATAAACACAGTACGACATTATTTTAAAACGTAGGCTTTCGCGGCCAAATATAATCCATAATAAATGGTTTGCTAGGTTACATCTCGTGAAGGTGTCGTTTATAACCCAGCACCAACAAAGCCAGCGAGTAAGGCTTTTACTACTGTGACTTTACCCTCCAACATCCCGGGCGTGCTGAAGTAGCAACTGCAACGTTGTTAGCGTGACAAAGCGTACTAATTGGCCGTGTCGGGTGGTGGCTTTAACGACGCGTTTATATTTACGCGATCCTACCCAAGAAAAACATGCATTAAGCGCGACATTATTGTTGCTATTCTTTACGTAAAGTCCACAGTAATCTGTTACATGAGCCCAGCGGCCTACTAAACTGTTAATGCACAGCCTGCGTCGCGGCTTGCGCGCCTCCTCCCTCAAACACCGGGGCCCCGCACCTCTTCATGATGTCGTGGATTAGCGGGACGAAGGCGGTGTTCTCCTCTTTGATCTGCGTGGTCGACATCTTCGCAAGCCTCCAACCTCCTGGTCGTCGTCGTCGTGTCCGAAGCCACCAACAGCGACCCCGTTCCAGATGGGGGCTGCGGGCCCCGGAACCAGCACTGAGCCGACCACGTGGGAAGAATCGATTCCCGCCTCACTAAATCTCGAGTCGATTCTCGCCGATTCGTTGCCGCGTTAGACTCTCGCGTAACGATCTAAAATCGATTCACGATGTTAATCGATGCTCGATAATCGATTAACGCGTGTTAAACAACAATGGTTTTCATACTTTTTGGGTCTTTCGGTAAAGTCACGTTGATAGAAAACTAATAGATCACGATGTTTCGATCGCAAGAGTATGAATTCCTGCAGTCACGAAAGCTTTATATGAACAATGGTTTTGTAATATACATTTTTTTTGTTATTGTTGAGAATTTCTCTCCAAATCTGGCTGTCTCCTGATGATGCCGGTTGTAATTACTGGCGAAACGTCGTACTCAGATTGTAAATGTTGTGGATTTGCTCTCCAACACACAACCGGTGTGCTGTACTCGTGACGAATTGGCGACCTGTCTATCACAAATGACAGCTCAACAAAGTGGCTTATCGTCATGTCGATATTTATAGCAGCCAAATACAATAAAAATATATATACAGCAGGCATCGGGGTCAGGATCAAACCCACCAGCTGTCTACCCGGCGAGGTAGTTAACATCTCGCCAGTCATCGTAATATTAGTCGGGTACAATAAATTAAACATGGGTGGGATTGTTACTTAAGACTACTGAGTAAAATTCCTGGTCACGGCTATCATGAGTGGCGAGTTGCAATCCTTCAAGCCACACTTGACCGACAATGGTCAAAGCTCACGACCGACATGGAGTGGGAAGGCCTTCATCCAGCAGCACATTGCGAAACTAATTTTAAGACTTGTCTCCACCATCTGCAACACCCTTCATTATCTTGAACTTTGTGTATGTTTTAGCACATGAACAACCCCTACAGCAAGAATTGTTTAACTTGCAAAGCATGCACAATATACAGATGCATACATGTTTTGAGAATGACATGCAGATGCATTTCACAGCCTGCTGCAATGTTTTATTTACACACATGGCAAATCCTGCAGCATTAAATTAAATGTCCTCGAGTGTAGTTAACTCGTGCAGCATACCCATCCATTCCCACACCTACGTTTTAGCACGGTTGCATACCCTGTGAATCCATATGGTTTACCCGTATTCTTGCACAGGGAAATTGAGGTTTCAGGTCCATTCGGCGTACAGCCGTTTCAATGCGGACATTTGTTTTGTCTCTCCCTTGTGATGCGACTTTGTTGGGTGAACACTTGATATTTATAAGGGCAAGGGGTTACCAATAAGGTCTGAATTGGTCTCTATAAGGCACCGATAAGGTGTTGACAGGTATGCAGTTGGCTAGTACGGTGTTAAAGAAGTTCAACATACATTCATACATTCCTCGTAAAACACTTTCACAGCAGCTGAAGGAACGGCGTGGGACACTTATAACAACAACCATTTAATATTTTTTGCAAACTTTAAATATAGTGCATAATAAATTTTTGGTCAGTTTTTAAAACCTATGTCAAAGTTCATAGGTTGTACATAGTGACATCAATACTATCTTCCTTCTGGTCAAAATTACCACTTAAGTTTTATTTTATTTGTACATACATTACCATTGCCATTTAAAACCTCATTAATATTTGAACACAGCATTGAAAATATATTACGTCTAAAATATTAAAGGCAAGATAATTATTTTTTGAATAAAATACAAAACCTACATTATGCCCTTCAATTATGTTTCTTGTAAACATCAGGGTTGGAAGAAAGTCCATTTTCAGCAGTTTCAATTTCACTGTCTTCTTGTGCAGGACTTGATGATGAAATGACATTGCAAGGTTTGCGTGCCTGTTTGAGTTTTCGATATCTTCGCATTACATATTTAGAAATGTTGACCATGAACAGCCAGGAAATGGTGTACATTCCCACACCACTGATCTTCATCACGAGTATAGGTGTGGGGGATCTCAGCACACAGACAAGAAGGATAGTGCCAACTCCCATTCGGACGCAAAAGAACAACGTCACAAACGTGGCGTCCAGGCACAAGCCAAGGTTGGTGTCCTCATACCTGCATACACACAATGGCAACAGTTCATAAAATAACAATGAATTCCAGTGAAAATGCTTTATAAATGAATAGTATTTGTACATGTCAACGTTTCTATATGAAATTAATTTAACATTTTGCAGGCTTTGTGGAACATGTTTCTCTCTCTCGAGACACAGTTTGTGGATTACACGTTTCCTTATATGTGCTAGGCTTTTAACCTGAAGAGTTAAGGAATGCCAGTTGATAAACCAGTTGGTGAAGTGGCGGCCCCAGTATCTGCTGATGTAATGCTTGAAACAGATGTTACCCATGGCTGGGAATCGAACATGCGTAGCCAGGTTGATAACACAGGCTGTGAACCACTGCACCACGACTCCCCCTCAGACAAGGTACTTAGATAGACGTACTACTTACATAACTGGTCAGTTTGTGTCCACGGACTTAGTTGGAGGCTAAGAGCTTTATCCATAACTGTCCCTAGCCAAATCCAACCCCTCTGCTAATGCAACCTCTAGACTCTAAACATGGGGGAAATTCAGTTCCACAGGAACCGTTTGGGAAAAAAATGTGGAAAAAAACAAGATGGCTTTCATCATTATTTTACCAACTCGTATGAAAATAATTTCACGACACTATACGTACCGTCCCATTTTACGAAGAAACCAGCGGAGTTGGAGTAGAGGGTTGGTAATTTCACTCCCAAATATAACACCGTTTGTCTCTGTTGCAGATACACCCAGGAACAGGCATCCTACCAGTCCTAAAATGCTTATTATGTGGTGTGCAAGCATTACGATGCTTTCATTTCCATATGAGACACACCACAATAAATCAAATATGAAGTATCCCAGACAGAAAGACAAGGCAAAAACTTGCAGCTCTGAATTAGGGCCACCTGAAAAAAACAAAGAATACACATATGCAAGTCAGATTCCATACAGCACGTTAAAAATAGTACCGTATTCTCCATATTATATAATATGCATAACAAACGTGTGCCACTGTCAATAAGTGTACAAATACGTCACATGGGAACACCTACCGGATTCTAAATTACACTATCATCTGGAGAATACAGTTACAACTGCATCATACACTTGATACAATATTCAAAATTAACAATCAATGCCACTCTTACATACCTGGTTCATTGTGAAATATTCTTAAATTGTTTACATTAATATGGCAATATGCACTGTCCAAGTAAATTACATTATGTTATGTAACTGTATACTGTACTTTAAGTATAAAGTTAAAATAAAATGCAATCACATTTTATGGCGACTTTGTTGTTAACAATGACACATGTACGTTCATACACGACAGAAGACCCCTAGTTACAATTCACTTACTAACCCAACCCAAATCTGTGATATGATGATTAATATCAGTAATGTAAAATGTCTGTGTGGCAGTGTTAATCTCGACCAGGGATCCTGAGCCAGTGATTGAAATTCCACATTTCTATGGCAAGGATACATATTTCCATAGGGCCATCAGAATTAACTTCCTACCAAGTGGTATTAATTTCACTGAGACCAGGAGGTCAGTGGGCCAAGCTGAACCTCGGATAGACATGCAAGTCAAAACCTTCCCATATTTGGCTGTCCTACTACAGCACAGCTGGAACAACTTTGTAAATGTTATGAAAGTAAAGCACACTTTGTATCGAATTTAGATGGAATCCCAAAACAAAAAAATGTGAAAAAAATCTAAATAATCATAAGCATGGCATAGTGTCTGAGGATCACAAGATAGTCCAAAGGTCTCTCAGATTTATCATTGTATTAATAAACATCATAACAATAACAACCACAATCGCTTCCACGCCGTCACCCACCCTTTTGGCCCAGCCCCCCCCCTCCCTCCCGATACGTTCCATTCATTGGCTACCACATTCTGATGAGCTCCCCCCTCTCCTCCCCCCTCAACTCGCTTTTAAGAGATTACATCTTGAATTATTGCCTCACTTGATGCAGCTAATCTGGCTGTGACGGTCCCACCTGATGACGGAGACTTGTGTTGCCTCCGAAACGTCGTGATCTTTATTTTATTTTATTTTTATTAATTTTGATGTTTTACCTACGTGACTTTACCGAAAAAACCTACGAATAACAACCTCCATTCGACACTAAGTGGCGGTGATGTCACCACGGTGCTTGTGCCAGGCTATGTGCACTTTACGGCCATGTAAATATCACACATCAGTGCCCACAGTATATGTAAGTTACGTGTTAAACACGGTACCATAATTGCACATATATGCAGCATTACTGAACACACGAGTTTGGATTAATAGATGATATATTGGCAACTGCATCTCGAGATACCTTAGAAAAATGTCGATGTGCATTATACGGGAAAACGGAAGTGGCTATACTTAAATGTTTTAGAGAAAAGCAGTAAGTCATTGGCAGAGGAGGGCAAGAAGGTCTTCATCCGGAGTTTGAACATGGGTAGCAAGTCAACAATGTAGAAAGTTGGTGGAGGGAGTTCAAGATTCTAGGGGTAGCAGAGGAGAAGGTGCAAGCTCACAATGAAGGATGAGAATTGGGCTTTCGACACAGCCTTGGTGGCTACTGGAGGCACAGGGTGTAGAGTGGGATGAGACGGCGAGCTAGACAGGAACAGGTTCGTGAATGATCATGAAGATGGCGAGTGATTTTTAAGATTTTAAAGACTGGATTTGGAGCCACTGAACATATTACAGCAGTGAGGTAATGTGGTTTTCTCACCTGGCAGTGGCATATTGGATCGTGGTGTCTGGAGGCGAGGGATTTGGAGAGGCCATAGAGGGGAATAGTTGCAGTTGTCAAGTCAGAGGGGTGGTGGAGGCATAAATGGGGGTCTCAGCAGCTGCTTGAGTGAGGAAGTAGCTGATGGTGGAGTGATGAAGTGGCCGATGCATTAGATGTTGTGGAGATTAAAATGTCAAAACAACTGTGATAGTAACAATGAGGTGTATATTCTAGATGACATTACACTACAACAGGACATACACCAATGCACAAGATGCACAATATACACGAGACCATAAATGTAAAGGAGATGTTATACAGGTCCCATCTGTACTCTAAGAGCCAGAACATATTTAACAGACGACAGGCATACACCACAACCCAAAATAAAAACCGCTACAGACAGTACAATAAAAACAAGACAGAATGAACATTCACAACGTAAAGTAGATAGGACATCCAGGAAAACCCAGGCAGGATGTACAAGCCAGATAAATAACCTTATTTTTCATTTATTTCACACTCTAATGACGTTTTACATTTTAATTACTATGGTTATACATAAGTGCATACTTCCAAAAAAATGAACCTCAACTGTTGATATGTGCATGCTTTCAAAAAAAGATGGCATCACGTCCTACCTGGATGTGTAAACGGCCAAGGGCCTGCGATGAAGCCGATGTAAGCTGACAGTGGAACGATGAGGCATCCGTGAAGTAGGGTGACGAGTCGGCAGTTCCACTCTTTGCCGTGCGATGGGTTGAGGCGGTAGAGGACGACGTAGAGCAGTGACCACCAGACGGTGCTCGCAGACACGAGGAACACTGGGAACGATGTCATGCCTCAAGCTGACGGGCAAAGTAGAAAAGCAAGATCGTTTTTTAAAAACCTCAACTCGCACAGCAATTTACAAACAAATGCGAGTTTTACAATGCAAGTTTATTTTGTTTATCCAGGTGGAAACTCAACATGGTTTCATATGCAAGTGACATGGGGTCACCAAAATGACAAAAATCTAAAAAAACAAGCACAACAATGAAAAAAATATATATCTGAGCAAAAACATCCAAATTTAAATCGGAGCAAAGACAACCAAATAGAAATGCCTTTGACCATTGTGCAAACCACTTAATGTTAACTTGTTAAAAAGGGTCGCACTTGGTGGGATGGCCAAGTGGTTCACGAGTCAGAGCAGTGAGCTTTAATCGCTGAGGGCGTGTGGTACTGTTAGGAACCTCCTGGTTACACCAGCCCACAGGGGATTATTGTGTCCGTCCGTCGTGCATCCAAAAATAGGAGGGGTGGGGCTGGGTGGAGAGGGTGGGGAGGGGCAGGGTGGGGAGGGGTGGAGAGGGGCTGGTCACCCCGTGGTGCCCTTATAAAACTCAACGTTTAACCGACTCACGCCGGCTTGTGCCTGCCCTCAGTCGGCCATATTTGCGGGATTACACCACGCCGCCGTTGACCCTGGCCATTGACCAAGCAACCCAACGTTCCTACCAGCTCCCTCCGCAGGAATGTGTCTAAACTGGGCTGTCAAGTGCAGCACAGTTCATGATCACCAGACACTGCATGAAGTAAGATAATATTCTATCATATAAAACTTAAATTGCGAAATATTCCAGCACTTATAATAAAAAGAAATATATAAAAGTGCAGCACCCCTAGTGAGGACCAGGAGTTATTTAAACATATCTCAGGAATAGTTATATTGTATCACCTTTTGTGGCTGTTTGCTACGTGGAATTATGCAATGCATTGTTTAAGTTCCGATAGGGAACTTTTGAGAGAAAAAATACGATTTAAAAAAAAAAACATCCTACACTTCTATGGTGTTACACCAAGTTGCTCAACAGGTTTTTTTGTTGTTTTGCATGCAAGGTTAAATGAGCGTGCAATTTTTGCATGCAAGAATTCTCTTACAGTCGCACACGCAGGCGGTAAAGGTGACATTTTCAAGGCCAGATTTCAAGGCCAAAGTACTGCAAGAGCCTTTTAAGTTGAGTTTTGTTTATTTCAGCGGAGCTAAAGCATGACTCTCGCTGGACTGACCCATGTCTCAACTCTTAAACATTGTGGAAGCTTTCATTCTTCCACTTCCTCTATCAGACGTGCAGGTGAAAATAGAGCCACCTTCCTTTATAATAATTAAAAGTTGGCGACTGAACTTGCTTAATAGTCTTTTAATACTGGAAACACTCCGTGTTTAGGCTTTGTGATAATGTGTGCATCAGCCAAGCAACCTAATACTGCACTGTAAGGCGGCCAAGTAGCTTATACTTAAGAGGGCTAATGCTGGGTTCACACAGGATGGCTTAACGTAAGTAATTGCTATTAAAGTGTCAAGTGACATCACAAGGTTGTAATGTCAACCTGGGACAATTTTCCCAAGGTTGAATTTTGCTAATCGGTAAAATAACCAGCAGCAATCGCAGCCAATGGTAAACCAACCAGGGTTTGAGGTGGTGTAAAATGGGCAGATCTAAAGGGCTCTAGAAACTTTAAAATCAGCCATCGATTAAGAATATTGCAAGTTGTATTCCCAGAGATGATTTTACAAAGTGAAGACACAAACACCACCGAACCCCAATGTGACATTCGCCAACCTAAATAAAAGTCTAAAATCCTGTGTGAACCCAACCTAAAACCTTTCCAGAACACTGCGTTGAAATCTTGAATTCCAGTTGCAAGGCGGTTGCCAACTCGTGAACAAAATAACAATACTATAATGTTACATTTGCATTTCACCTAATTTACCATATTTCCAGATTTAGTTTTTAACATTAAAATATGCATGCTTGCAGGCAAAATTTTACCGTTGGTTTATGTTTTGCTGTGCATAATACCTTTAAGTAATATCAAACGCAAAATTACATTTATCATAAAAAAAAGAGACATTAAGGCCAAATTATTGGTTTACACCGCAACAGTTCAAATGGGACTACAGCGTACAGAACAAAACCCGCAGTTTTATACGGACGGAGCCCTGTACACACAGAGGGCAGTTTTGCGAGGAATGCGATGAGACTTGTAAAGAGGATGTGAGAGATTATGGGGCTATATGACCCACACGAGTTTGAACCCTCGTTCAAATGCGAAACGACACTTTGTGGAGTTGGTGGCTGGAGTTAGTGACTGGAGCACGTGGTAAAGTCACGTTCAATTCGTTTCTGTCACGAAGCTTCGGACTACTGACGTGGGGTAGGTCGAGACACGACCTAGGTGTATGTATGGGCACTTAATAGATTTAAAAAATATATATTTACATTCATCACTGACACTACATTTCGAGCAAATGCCCCTTATTCATGGGGCAAAAAGGTCCACTATCCGAAACGCCGCCTCTTAAATATGTTCTTTTTATAGCCGTGTCATTGACAAAGGCGTTGCATTGTGTTGCTCCTGTGGAGTGCTATCAAGGCGGTATCACTAAATAGTTGACTTTAGCGATAACGTATCTGCTGCTCTGGTGCAAGTAGCAGTTTGCGCGTAACCATTCCATATTCAGTACCGAATCATTGCGTGTGGAAGAATCGATTATATGCGACGTTTAATAACAATCCTTGTGTATGCAGGACTATCTCAAACATAAGGTGTGGATCAATCACAGCACCACGGCATTGATTTGACAAGCAGCAGCAGCAACAGCACGAAAGGCGGGCCAGGCTCACAGCGCACGTGGTTACAGCTTGCTCCACACAGCCAAAGGGGTAATGATGGGTTCGATAGTCGTCTCGGGGTGCCTTTGTGTGCGGCTATGTCCTCTCCCCATGTTCTCCACTGGGTTCTCCGGTCTCCCCACCCACCCCCCCATAGCTAAAACAAATATATCGTAACAACGCAACTTGGTATTAACCAAACATTCCCTGCAAATTGCTCAATCGGCGTGGCGGAAAACATCGACAACCCCCCCCCTACTCCTCCCCCCTCACTACAAAACAACTTGGCAGCAGCTTCCCTGAGCAAAGTCTCAAGCCTCGGAGAAGCCTTCCTGGGTTTTAACGAGCGAATGAAATCGCGACTCCGCGAGTGGGTTGCGTGAATGAATGAGTGAGTGAATGAGTGAATGAGTGAATGAATGAGTGAATAAGTGAGTGAGTGAATGAGTGAGTGAATGAGTGAATGAATGAGTGAATAAGTGAGTGAATGAATGAGTGAATGAATGAGTGAATGAATGAGTGAATAAGTGAGTGAATGAATGAGTGAATGAGTGAGTGAATAAGTGAGTGAATGAATGAGTGAATAAGTGAGTGAATGAATGAGTGAGTGAATGAGTGAATAAGTGAGTGAATGAATGAGTGAATGAATGAGTGAATGAATGAGTGAATAAGTGAGTGAATGAATGAGTGAATAAGTGAGTGAATGAATGAGTGAATAAGTGAGTGAATGAATGAGTGAGTGAATGAATGAGTGAGTGAATGAGTGAATGAATGAGTGAGTGAATGAATGAGTGAGTGAATGAGTGAATGGTCTCTCGCCAAACCTATGTGGCTCATTTGCTCGACGTGGACCCTCGTACACACAACTCCCAAGACAAAGACCCCCCCCCCCCCACCGTGACAGGCTATTGGAGCACCTATGGTGGTGGTGGCTGGCCAGCCCCACGCCCGACCGCCTTTGTCTCCCCCAGTGGCGATGTTTACTACACACCACCGCACCCGGGTGCTCATTTGAGGCCGAGTCGACCTAGGGGAGACCCAGGACAGGGTTCAGATAAACCGTGGGCGGGATTCGAACTCGGGTCGCTTGGTTCGTAGCGCAGCGTAGCGCTAACCATTGCGCCACCGCTCCCCTACAATGCCAATCAATGATACCACGCACAGACAAAGATCCCCCGTATAGCCTGTAACAGGCTGTTGGGGCAAGTGCTGTTGGCGAGGAGCAGCGCCGATCGAGGCCGGCCACTGTGGCCCACGAGGGTTGTGTGTAGGCCAGCAGCACGCACGGCCGCCTTTGTCTTCCTCGTGGCGACGTTCACTGTGTCCCCGCGGGCTCGCCGTGTTACAGAACGCGGGCACCCCAGGAAACTCGCCCCGCGCGGTACCTGCAGTTGGTGCCGGCGGCGAAACGTCGCGGACAGACAGCGCGACTCGGGCCTCAGCAGCTAGGAGCCTGGGGCGCCGTGGGGGGAGAGTGGAGCAGGAGGACGCCGAGGCGACGAGGAGGCTGGGGAGCCGTGGGGGGGGGAGGAGGAGGAGGACGCCGAGGCGGCAAGAAGAGCGGGAGAGCGGTCACCACGGACCTGACGACGCCGCCGCCGCCGCGCGATGGGGAAGATAACGCGGGGCCCGGGCCGCGCCCCCACCACGCGTAACTACAGCCCCCTCCCTCCCTCCCTCCACTCCTACCCACCGCCCCCTCCCTCCCTCCCTCCACTCCTACCCACCGCCCCCTCCCTCCCTCCCTCCACTCCTACCCACCGCCCCCTCCCTCCCTCCACTCCTACCCACCGCCCCCTCCCTCCCTCCACTCCTACCCACCGCCCCCTCCCTCCCTCCACTCCTACCCACCGCCCCCTCCCTCCCTCCACTCCTACCCACCGCCCCCTCCCTCCCTCCACTCCTACCCACCGCCCCCTCCCTCCTAACCACCGCCCCCTCCCTCCCTCCTACGCACCGCCCTACCCCTCCTTCCCTCCCTCCCCCCTACCACCTCCCTCCCCCCTACCCACCTCCTCTCCCACCCACCCACCTCCCTCTCCCACCCACCCACCTCCCTCTCCCACCCACCCACCTCCCTCTCCCACCCACCCACCTCCCTCTCCCACCCACCCACCTCCCTCTCCCACCCACCCACCTCCCTCTCCCACCCACCCACCTCCCGCCCCTCCCCTCCGCCCCCTCCCTCCCCTCACCTCCTACCCAATTCCCCCTCCTACCCACCGCCCCCTCCTGACCCACCTCCCCTATTCCCCTTCTTCAAACCCCCATCATCCCCCACCCCCATCACCCCCACCCCCATCACCCCCCACCCCCATCACCCCCACCCCCATCATCCCCCACCCTCATCATCCCCCCACCACCATCACCACCCACCCCCATCATCCCCCACCCCCATCATGCCCCACCTCCATCATCCCCCCTCTCCCCCCACCTTCCCATTGTACTTCCAATACCCGAAGTGGGAGAGGAGCATTCCAGCAGCCCGGCTAGCTCAGTCGGTAGAGCATGAGACTCTTAATCTCAGGGTCGTGGGTTCGAGCCCCACGTTGGGCGCTTACTTTTGTGTGTTTATTAAGTCACTTTCAATAAAATAGTTGTTTGATGGAGATCAGGTATACATATTCTTTGGGTTTTTAAGTAAAGTCACGTAGATAGGTTCAAATTAATAAAAATAAAATAAACAAAAAACGACGACGTTTCGATCACAACACAAGCGATCGTCATCAGGAGGAAATAAAGAGGGGTAAAGCTGCTCAAAGCAGGCTGTTTTAAAAGGGTTAAAATTGGCGTAACCCAATGGTTATTAATTTGAACCGATCTCCGTGACTTTACCGAAAACCCCACAGAATGTTATAACCTGCAGTCAGTAAAGCTTTCAGTAAAGATTTAGATCAAGTATTGCCAATGCACGTGGATATGAGACAGTGGTCATCACGAACTAACGTCACGAAGCAGTCCTTAACGCGCCGCGTGCTGCTCTGGAGATGCAGGTTGCCGAACCCTGATGTTGACCAATTAACCACACATTACACTATGTAACACGATTTTTGTTTTTGGGTAGTAAGTGTTATTTTATAATTGCGTGTGCCTCAAAAGTATAGAACTGGCTATTATTCCCCACAAACTTTGCTTTTGTGACCAGGACTTTACTTGAAGGAATGACACAAATGCACACGTTTTCTCATTGAAAATGGGTACATTTCTAAATATCACTTTTTGATTAAATTCATGCTTTTTAAATATACGGTGGGTGACATGCCTCACAATCACCCCAAGTTAGACAGGGGTTAGACCACAGCAGCCCGGCTAGCTCAGTCGGTAGATCATGAGACTCTTAATCTCAGGGTCGTGGGTTCGAGCCCGACGTTGGGCGCAGGATAATTTTGTGATTTGCTTTGACTACCATTGTGCATTTCGGTGGACCAATTTCGCACACATGATGAAAACAATCGAATTACCTTTTGCTTTTTGTCATGTTTTTTCTGAAATATATTGTGGGTCACTTGATTCACAATCACCCCAAGTTAGACTGTGGTCACTCACAACAGCAGGCTGGCTAGTTCAGTCGGTAGAGTTAGAGACTCTTCACCGCAGGTACGTGGGTTCGAGCCCCACGCTGGGCGCAGAAACAACGTGATTCCCATGGAATTAAATTGTACATTCATGTAGATCAATTAACCAGACAGTATATCAACATACGAATTCCTTTTGACTTAAATTCATGTTTTTTTTTATATACGGTGGGTGACATGACTCACTAACACCCCAAGTTAGACAGGGGTCACTCACCACTGAAGCCTGGCTAGCTCAGTCGGTAGAGCATGAGACTCTTAATCTCAGGGTCGTGGGTTCGAGCCCCACGTTGGGCGCACAATAATTTTGTGATTTCCTTTGACGACTATTGTGCATTTCTGTGGACTAATTTAGCACGCATGATGAAAGCAATCGAATTACCTTTTACTTATTATCATGTTTTTTTTTAAATATAGTGTGGGTCACTTGACTCACAATCACCCCAAGTTCGACTGGGGACACTTACAACAGCAGCCAGGCTCGTTCAGTCGGTCGAGCTAGAGACTCTTGATCTCAGGGTCGTGGGTTTGAGCCCCATGTTGGGCGCAGAAACAACGTGTGATTCCCATGGACTTAAATTGTGCATTTATGTAGATCAAACACGTTCCTTCGGAGTGGGCAGGTAGGAACTTGGTTGGACAGCGCATTCGTGCGATTAGTGTCACGCGGCGCAAGCTGCGTGGGGCGGCGCGTCACGTGGTGCAGAGCCCGCCCGTAACGCTTTATGAAATACAAATCGAGGGCGTGGCTATGCACGACAGACAGACAAATAATCCCTGGTGGGCAGTGTGGAACTGTTGTTCCTACCTGAATTAACCAGACAGTATATCAACATACGAATTCCTTTTAACTTAAATTCATGTTTTTTTTTATATACGTTGGGTGACATGACTCACAATCACCTCAAGTTAGACAAGGGTTACTCACCACAGCAGCCCGGCTAGCTCAGTCGGTAGAGAATGAGACTCTTAATCTCAGGGTCGTGGGTTCGAGCCCCACGTTGGGCGCAGGATAATTTTGTGATTTGCTTTGACTACCATTGTGCATTTCGGTGGACCAATTTCGCACACATGATCAAAACAATCGAATTACCTTTTGCTTTTTGTCATGTTTTTTCTGAAATATATTGTGGGTCACTTGATTCACAATCACCCCAAGTTAGACTGTGGTCACTCACAACAGCAGGCTGGCTAGTTCAGTCGGTAGAGTTAGAGACTCTTCACCGCAGGTACGTGGGTTCGAGCCCCACGCTGGGCGCAGAAACAACGTGATTCCCATGGAATTAAATTGTACATTCATGTAGATCAATTAACCAGACAGTATATCAACATACGAATTCCTTTTGACTTAAATTCATGTTTTTTTTTATATACGGTGGGTGACATGACTCACGAACACCCCAAGTTAGACAGGGGTCACTCACCACTGAAGCCCGGCTAGCTCAGTCGGTAGAGCATGAGACTCTTAATCTCAGGGTCGTGGGTTCGAGCCCCACGTTGGGCGCACAATAATTTTGTGATTTCCTTTGACGACTATTGTGCATTTCTGTGGACTAATTTAGCACGCATGATGAAAGCAATCGAATTACCTTTTACTTATTATCATGTTTTTTTTTAAATATAGTGTGGGTCACTTGACTCACAATCACCCCAAGTTCGACTGGGCACACTTACAACAGCAGCCAGGCTAGTTCAGTCGGTCGAGCTAGAGACTCTTGATCTCAGGGTCGTGGGTTTGAGCCCCATGTTGGGCGCAGAAACAACGTGTGATTCCCATGGACTTAAATTGTGCATTTATGTAGATCAAACACGTTCCTTCGGAGTGGGCAGGTAGGAACTTGGTTGGACAGCGCATTCGTGCGATTAGTGTCACGCGGCGCAAGCTGCGTGGGGCGGCGCGTCACGTGGTGCAGAGCCCGCCCGTAACGCTTTATGAAATACAAATCGAGGGCGTGGCTATGCACGACAGACAGACAAATAATCCCTGGTGGGCAGTGTGGAACTGTTGTTCCTACCTGAATTAACCAGACAGTATATCAACATACGAATTCCTTTTAACTTAAATTCATGTTTTTTTTTATATACGTTGGGTGACATGACTCACAATCACCTCAAGTTAGACAAGGGTTACTCACCACAGCAGCCCGGCTAGCTCAGTCGGTAGAGAATGAGACTCTTAATCTCAGGGTCGTGGGTTCGAGCCCCACGTTGGGCGCAGGATAATTTTGTGATTTGCTTTGACTACCATTGTGCATTTCGGTGGACCAATTTCGCACACATGATCAAAACAATCGAATTACCTTTTGCTTTTCGTCATGTTTTTTTCTGAAATATATTGTGGGTCACTTGATTCACAATCACCCCAAGTTAGACTGTGGTCACTCACAACAGCAGGCTGGCTAGTTCAGTCGGTAGAGTTAGAGACTCTTCACCGCAGGTACGTGGGTTCGAGCCCCACGCTGGGCGCAGAAACAACGTGATTCCCATGGAATTAAATTGTACATTCATGTAGATCAATTAACCAGACAGTATATCAACATACGAATTCCTTTTGACTTAAATTCATGTTTTTTTTTATATACGGTGGGTGACATGACTCACTAACACCCCAAGTTAGACAGGGGTCACTCACCACTGAAGCCTGGCTAGCTCAGTCGGTAGAGCATGAGACTCTTAATCTCAGGGTCGTGGGTTCGAGCCCCACGTTGGGCGCTCAATAATTTTGTGATTTCCTTTGACGACTATTGTGCATTTCTGTGGACCAATTTAGCACGCGTGATGAAAACAATCGAATTACCTTTTACTTATTGTCATGTTTTTTTCTGAAATATACTGTGGGTCACTTGACTCACAATCACCCCAAGATCGACTGGGGACACTTACAACAGCAGCCAGGCTCGTTCAGTCGGTCGAGCTCGAGACTCTTGATCTCAGGGTCGTGGGTTTGAGCCCCATGTTGGGCGTAGAAACAACGTGTAATTCCCATGGACTTAAATTGTGCATTTATGTAGATCAAACACGTTCCTTCGGAGTGGGCAGGTAGGAACTTGGTTGGACAGCGCATTCGTGCGATCCGTGTCACGCGG